AGTATTGCCGCAAAAATATGTGACTCTAACGTGAGGTTTAGGAACATAAATACAACCAGCCTAGGTTCATGCAACATTTGACCCTAGGATGCAAGCATTGTCAAAAAAATAGCATAATTTCCAGAAATTTCACCGAACATTTAAGTCCAACTGTATACTAGAAAATACGTATTTAATTGCAGTAAAGAATGATGTAAATCAAGAAATGGTTAAGAGGAAATGAATACATTAGCTATAAAAGCCATTATTAAATCTGTGTTTTCTGGGGGAAAAAGGACTGAAGATTTTTTAGGGTAGTACACTTTCACCTTTATACAATTAACAGTTATGTACTCTCATCCTTTTTTGACATTGCTGTAATTTCTGTATTTTCACTGTTGCTGGTTCTTGGGGCTTAAAAGGGAGGAAAGATTTTTAAGTTGGAAACACTAGAATTTGTGTGCTTTTAAATATAATTTGAGCCCTGGTCAGGTGGCTCAGTTGGTTAGAGCATCATCCCATGCACGAAAAGGCTGTGGGTTTGATTCCCAGTCAGGGTACATACCTAGGTTTCGGGTTTGATCCCCACTTCAGGCCCTGCAGAGGGAAAACAACCGATAAATGTTTCTCTCTCACATCAATGTTTCTCTCTCTCTCCCCACCTTCCTCTCCCTTTAAAATCAATAAAAACATATCTTTGGGTGAGGATTAAAGAAATAATAAATAAATAACTATAATCTCAGAAATAGTGATCAAAAGTGTGATTAAAACAAATTAGTAAACTGAAAGTGCTTTCCCACCTGGTTCTTCAAATTAATACACAGACCTAATTTTAAATATAATCAATTTGTTTCATGTTCAATATAATTTTATAAGCATATATCTCCCTAATTTTAGGTTCATAACTTTGGTTTCTTTTAACGTGACCAAAAAAAGTGGGGTTTGAGGGGGGTGTAAATACCTAAGTGCATATATCAATTCGTAGATTTCCAGAATTTTTTCTAAAGACTTTTTAAAAACACACACATTATTCATACAAATATGAATCAACATGACTCCAGGTGGGAATAAAAATGTACAGTGGCATCAGCATTTCTAAAAATAAGACAAACTAATGGCCTGAATGCTTTGATTACTTTCCCTGCCTGAAAGACTATTCATTGTTGATGGTCATTTGCCCCTGTACCTCCTTAAGAAACCTTCCCTTCCACTCACCTTTCTCCTACTCTAATCGATTTTTTAAAAAAACCAACCAAACCGCAAGAGTCAGTTGCGTGTGAATGTGGAGCGATGGATCGCCCCCAAATGGGCTGGTCTATTGACTCGCGCTCCTCGCCCAAGAGAAGGCTGGGCCTCTATCTGGCAAGGTTCCAGACCACTGCACCCCAACTTTCTACAGCTGGGCCTTCCTTCCTGTTTCACCTGCCAGCTGCCAGGCTGTTGACTAACAACTACCGTAATCGGGCCTCCTGCTCCGGGTTCCCAGCCCCGGAGGAGTTACCCCAGCAACCTGGCAATGCCTTCAGTGCCTCAATGCGCGGTGGCCGCGCTGGAACGTTACCACGACACCTGCACGGCTGCGGGCTCCTCGCCGCCCCACTCTCGGCTGAGAAAAACAAACGGGGGAGTTCTTACTCCGGACTGTGGGTTTTCCCCCACGCAGCACACACTCCCCAGGTGACGGGGCTCTAACAGTCCCCGGGAGGGTTCCCCAACGTTCCCTGTGCCAGCTGCAGCCGCCTCGCTTTCCGAAAAGCTTTCTCGTCTGTTCTCCGAAGTCGGAGAAGCAACAGCCTCCCGGGCTCACCTGAGCACTGAAAAGGTGCACGCAGTCGCGGGGAGAAGGCAGCGCTGTAGAGAAAGAAAATATTGTAGGAGGTTAGGAGAGACCCACAACACGACGACGAATCAGGGAACCCCGTCGCCGCAACACCCCGGCCGGGGAATTCCTCTTCCTCAAACAGGGATCCCTACCCCGCACCCCGCTTCCAACCTGGAGAGGGAGGTACCAGCCCCTAGGGCATCCGTCCACCTCCCACCCGGGCGAGGGGCGCTGCACCGGGGGAGAAGGAGGGTTTGCACCCCGGCCAAGCTGCTTTGTGCAGAACTGTCACCCGAAATCCGCCGCAGCCACTACGGTGGCCCCCGGAGCCGCGTGCGCCTCACC